AACTCTTTATGCTGTATTTAATGCTTTAATTCTGTTCATCAGAGTTTTGTAATGTTTCTCATATATATCTTGTACATATTTTATTGGAACTGTACTTAAGTATTTCATCTTTTTCAGTGCTAATATAAATGGTATTGTGTTTTAAATTTCATATTCTACTTGTTCAGTTTTAGTGTATAGGAAAGCAAATGACTATTGTATATTGACCTTGTACCTGCAACCTTGTGGATAGTCACTTATTAGTTCCTGGGCTTTTTGGTTGATTATTTCAGATTTTCTTTTTTTTTTAAATATTTTATTGATTATGTTATTACAGCTGTCCCATTACCCCCCTCCATCCCCCTCCACCCTGCACACCCTCCCCCACCCACATTCCCCCCCTCTAGTTCATGTCCACATGTCATAGGTTCTTTAGCTTCTACATTTCCCATACTATTCTTGCCCTCCCCCTGTCTATTTTCTACCTACCATCTATGCTATTTATTCTCCATACCTTTTACCCCTCTCTCCTCCTCCCACTGCCCTGTTGCTAACTCTCTCTGTGTTCTCCATTTCTGTGGTTCTGTTCTTGTTCTAGTTGTTTGCTTAATTTCTTTTTGTTTTAGGTGTGGCTGTTAATAATTGTGAGTTTGCTGTCATTTTACTATACATGTTTTTTTATCTTCTTTTTCTTAGATAAGTCCCTTTAACATTTCATATAATAAGGGCTTGGTGATGATGAACTCCTTTAACTTGACCTTATCTGAGAAGCACTTTATCTGCCCTTCCATTCTAAATGAAAGTTTTGCTGGATAGAGCAATCTTGGATGTAGGTCCTTGCCTTTCATTTCTTGGAATACTTCTTTCCAGCCCCTTCTTGCCTGCAAGTTTTCTTTTGAGAAATCAGCTGACAGTCTGATGGGAACTCCTTTGTAGGTGACTGCCTCCTTATCTCTTGCTACTTCTAGGATTCTCTCCTTCATTTTTACCTTGGCTAATGTAATAATGATGTGCCTTGGTGTGTGCTTCCTTGGGTCCAACTTCTTTGAGACTCTCTGAGCTTCCGGGATTTCCTGGAAGTCTATTTCCTTTGCCAGAATGGGGAAGTTCTCCTTTATTATTTGTTCACATACATTTTCAATCTGTCGCTCTTCCTCTTCCCCTTCTGGTACCCCTATAATTCAGATATTAGAACATTTAAAGATGTCCTGGAGGTTCCTAAGCCTCTCCTCATTTTTTTTTTAATTCTTATTTCTTCATTCTTTTCTGTGTGGTTGTTTCTTTCTTCCTTCTGGTCCACTCCATTGATGTGAGACCCAGCTTTCTTTCCATTACTATTGCTTCCCTGTGTATTTTTCTTCATTTCACTTATTGTAGCCTTCATTTTTTCATTTAATTTGCAACCAAAATCAACCAATTCTGTGAGCATCCTGATCACCAGTGATTTGAACTGTGCATCTGATAGGATGGCTATCTCTTGGTTGCTTATAAGGATGGATTCTGGAGCTTTCATTTGTTCTTCTATTTGAGCCATCTCTCTCTCTCTCTCTCTTTTTTTTTTTTTTTTTTTGGTCTGGTCACACCTGTTACATAGTGAGGGGCGGAGCCTTAGGTGTTCACCAGGGCAGGGCAACCCAGTTGCTGGGTTGTGATGCTGTGTGTGGGGGATGGGGTCCGAGAGGGAACAATCATGCTTGCTCTGCTGCCGATTTCAGTCCCTTCTGCCGCTTCCCCAAGCAAACTGGGTCTTTCTGGTGCTGATTTCCGTGTGGATGGGCTTGTGCGCCCCGTGGGTCTTTCCAGCAACCTCTCCTGTGAGGCTGGGAGTCTCTCCCTGTGCCTCAATCCCCACAGGTGTTTTCAATCAGTGCCCCAAGGCTCTATTTCCCAGTGCTGGGATCCTGGGTTGTGCACAGTACCTTGCTTCACAATCGCCGCCTCGCTAAGTTTGCCAGCTTCTGCTTGCGTACTCAGGGTTTGCCCGCTGTGGTCTTACGCACCTAGTTCCAAAGCTCTTTGTGCTGCACAACCCCTCTCTGCCCAGTTTCCTGACTCCACCCCTCCTATTGGTCTGGATGAACGTGTCTATTTTAACTCCTTGGTTGTCCGATTTCCATACAGTTCAATTTTCTGTCAGTTCTGATTGGTATTCTGTTTCTAAATTGTTGTTGTCCCTATCTTGGTTGTGTGAGGAGGCACAGTGTGTCTACCTATGCCTCCATCTTGGCCCTGTTTGTGCTTTTTTAAAGAAAGGTGCTGTCATTTGGGAAATGATTCTTAATTCTGATTTCAAGACTTTAACTGACTTATCATCTCTCCCACATCATCAATGACTGGCATCTTGAGATATCAAGGTTGCTTTCAGTCAAGCCCAGCAATCCCAATGTGGAATAGCTGTTATGCACCTGAAGGCAGGATTTGGATCCTGACTGTGCATCCTTTGGCATCTCACCTCACCTGTCTAAAGCTTGAACTTCCCATCTATAAAAGATGAATAATTCTTCCTGCCTACAATTGTTTAAGATCATTTATTTAGTCCATATATGTAATGAATAACTACTACGTTATGATTACAACAGACAGATCTCCTTACCTTTGTTTCAGAATGAATCAGATAATCATATAAATATTTAATGGCAAACCAGGACAGATTTGTACGTATAGGGAGCTATGACAGCCTACATCAGGTGTACCTGGCCTGGCTGGGGGAAACAGGCTGCAATCTGAAGGAGAAGCAGAAAAGAAGGAAGAGGGTACTGCATGGTGAGGGCCTGGATGTAGGACAGAGCAAGATATGCTCCATTTTGGCTGGAGTGACGCAAGGTTGGAGAGGCCTACAGGAGTTCTGTTATTATCTTAGGATCCCTGGGAAGCTCCTGGGGCTTAATAGGGACAGTGACATGATAAGATTTTAATTTTAAGGAGTTAGTTCTGGCTGTCCTACTGAGAATGGCAAGAGTCATGGGGTGAGAGATGACCAAGGTGGTGGTGAGATGTGGATTTGAGCGATCTCTAGGAACTTAACTTATGTGTAGGACTACTCCTTCACAGTCTTCAGATAAGAAAGTGGAAGCTAGTTAGAAGGGTTAAGTAACATGCCCAAGTTTATACATCTGGTACAGTGGTGTCAAACTCATTTTCACCAGGGGCTGCATCAGCCTTGCGGTTGCCTTCAAAGGGCTGAATATAATTTTAGGACTGTATAAATGTAACTACTCCTTAACAGTTAAGCGAGAGCTCAGCGCTGCTGCCAGGTAGAAACAAGGTTCCAGGCAGGATAAAATAAGGTGGAGGGCCGGATTCAGCTCACAGGCCTTGTGTTTGCCACCTGTGGTCTAGTATGTAGTGAAGCAGGAAAACATGATCCAGAGCCATTTCCTTAATCGTGACCCAGCCGTACCCTAGACACTGTAGACCATCATTGGCCCAGCACATGGTGTTTCTCACAGCTGTTCTGGGTCAGTGCCGAGGCCGAACATTCCTCCCCTAGGGGGATTTTATCAGTAATTTACCACCCAACCTGGGTTCCTCTTGACTTGCCTGTTGATAGTTTTGCTGGTGAAGACTACAGGTAGGAGGTGAGAATGTGCCACCATCAATGGAGTAGCTCCTCACTGAGAAACAGATCCAGGATTGTCCCGGGAAACAATAATCTGGGATCAATTTGATCTGAAAAACATAGCCCCCATTGGCCATGAATTATTAATCAACAGTCTACTGAATGTTAATTGTGTACCAAGTGCACATGCGTTATTTAATATGTTAGCTCTAGAGGCCATTAGAGAAGAGATTCCTAATAGGAAGAAAACTGTCCAATACAAGAAGCAACTGACAAGAAACAGACATGGAACTCAGATCCATATTCCCAGCCAAAGCACTTTAAATTACACCAAGATGAAGAATAAAAATAAGATAAATAATTTAATGACAATTAAGATGTCAGTTAAATTCTTGAAGCTATCAGTGGACCTTTCTTTGCAGTAACTTTTTAATAAAAACTTTTATTTATTCATTTTTAGAGAGGGGGAAGGGAGGAAGAAAGGGAGAGAAACATGGATGTGGGAATTGAACGTGCAATCTTCCGGTTCGCAGGCCAGCGCTCAATCCACTGAGCCATGCCAGCCAGATCTCTGGTACGTTTTTTAATAAAAGGGATCAGGCCAGAAGCCTAGGGGGGTCGAACCTCTAAAAAAATCTCTTTGATCATTGCCCCCTGAGGAAATGGTTCTTTAGCATTTCTTTCTTATCCACAGGCCTGAAAGCCCAGGCTAGTGTTTTATCAGCGTGTCTCAAAGTGGCTGGCAGAGGACCTATGCGCTCATTTTACAAATAAGAAGGGCTAGGTCAGACTCCTTGGAGAAAAAAGTCAGAGAAGAGTTAAGTCGGGCGCTATTTGTCCCTGCTAGTCCCTCCAGAGCTTCTGCTCGAGCCTCACCTTTTCAAGCGCTGGCTACCCGGACGGTTAGCGCAGTAGAGGCTTCGCTCAGTTGCTAGGGGAACCAGGAGGCGCCACTCAGTTGCTAAGGGGAAGTTAAAAGGTAGACATCCCGGGTGAAAGTTGATAAGTCACGTGACAATATTTCTGGGTGGGGAAATACTCCTACCACCAACCAGCCATAGAGAAAACAAACGTTTCTCCAATAAGCACTTTTTATGGGCGGGGATCCTTCTAGCCACGCCTCTTCTCCCCCGCCCCCATTTGAGTGATTGACTCGCCTGTTCTCCAATAACCATAGGGATTCTAGATTGACCAATATATAAGTGAATTAAAATACACAGGCTCGTTCGGAGGCGGGCCATAGGGGCTGCCGCTAGCTAGACGGAATTCCTGTGACTTAGCTTGCCCCTCTGCCCAATCGGACGCCGTGGGGTAGGTGGAGCTTCGCTGAGGGAGTGCATGGACCAATAGGAGGGAAACCGGGCAGGCGTTGTCCAATAGGGGTGCGACAGGAGCGGGATCAGGAGCCCAGCAATTCTGAGGGTGGGGCGGGGGCAAGTGTACGTCAGGTCTCGGGCGCCAAGGAGGGCTGCGGACATCCCGGCAGCTGAAAGGGTACCTGGGCCGCTTCCGTGCTGTCCGTCTAAGATGGAGTTCCTCCTAGGGAACCCGTTCAGCACACCAGTGGGGCAGTGCCTCGGTAAGGCTGCACGAAGGATGTGCGTCCGGTTGGGCGATGGCAGCGGCTGATGCGGCTGGTGGGGACCGCAGGCCTCTGCGGGTCACCGATGCCACCTCTCGGGTGGGTCGGGCATCCTGTCGTCGGGCCTCTGCCCACAGGCTAGTTGGGCCTGCTCACGACACCAGCGCCATTCTGCCAGGCGGCGCCCGGAGGCCCAACGCGTTCCTACCCCTCAGGGCCTAGCCCTTCCTTAGAGGTGGTGCCTGTAGTTGGTTGGCTCTTGGGAGATGCCACTGCGTGCGCCCTTATCCAGCCTGCTGCCGCTGCTGTCAGGACCCAGTTTCTCCCCATCCTACTTCCTTCACCCCTATCCCCGTTTTTCAGTTCCAGCAGCTCTCAGACTAGGCACCCTCCCAGGGAATGCTGCCTGCTCTGAGACTTGCTAATTAGATCTGCCACTCTGCCGGGATGTAGGAGGGTTGGGATAGGGGGGAATGGTTCCTAGAGGATGATTACCTGGGCTGGGGGTGGGGGTGGGGGGCGTGGCCTGCTTGCTCCGCTGCTAGGAAATGAGGGAGGCCATGTCATTTACTTTAAGAGCCTGGACTGGGAATCTGGAAGCCTGGGCTCCAGTTAGGCCTTTGCTAGTGATTTTCGCAATGACCTTGTTGTGCAAGTCACTACTCTTTCTGATTTGACGTTTGCCCTGTCTGACAAATGAGGTGTTTGGAAGTAAGATGTGGTAGATTTCTTCAAATTCCAAAGTTTTGATATTCCTAAATACCAAAGTTTTGGTATTCCTTTTCTTCACATTGCTGCTTTCCCGCAATATTAAATCTGCCAAAGTTGAAATCTTCTGGTGGCAATGTAGAGAGAGGAGTACTCAGCAGTACTTGTTAATCCTATAGAGGGGATCTGGGCACCTGGAAGAGGGCACCAGGGATGACCAGTATCCTGAGTAAGGAGAGCCAAGGCTAGGTGAAGGAATACCAGGGTGGCCATGGTATGGGATTTCCTCATTTAAAAAGTGGCTTCCTTTTCACCTAAGGTAGGAGCTTATGCCAAGTGATCAGTCAAGAATGGTGGTTAGTTTCTTTTAAAACTGAGTTCTTGCCCTGGCTAGTGTGGCTTAGTGGGTTCAGTGCCGGACTGTGAACCAAAAGGTCACCGGTTTGATTCCCAGTCCGAGCATGTGCCTGGGTTGTGGGCCAGGTCCCTGGCTGGGGTTATGTGAGAGGCAACCGATTTGTGTATCTCTCACACTAGATGTTTCTCTCCCTCTCTTTCTACCTCCCTTTCCCTCTCTGTAAAAATAAATAAAGTGTAAAAAAATATTTTTTTTGAAAACTGAGTTCCGGGTTGGTGGAAGGACTGGTGAAATATCTTTTATGAGCAGAGACCTTTGGAGTCCTTATGGAGCTAGCTGGTTCAGGCAGCAGTGATTTGTTTATTTTCTGCTCTACTGAACTTTCAGCTTACTTTTCAGCCTTTTGTGGGGCCTCTGAAATCATTGAAGTCGCTCCTCATTGAGATCACTCCCCTTGGCTACTTGGCATTTGGGAACCTTTTTTCTTTTTGACAAGAAATGAGGGACACTGGGTGTTGGAAGAATTTTTTCACACCTTTGCACACTGCTGTGTCTCTGGATTCCCACCCCTCTTTATTCCTCACTTCCTTTCCTCAGCTGCTCCTTCACTGCAGCCACACTCCAGCATTTCTCAGCTGAGTGTTGAATTCCAACCAGTTATTGGAGGGAGCCAGTAAGCTTGGGGTGGGGGTGGAATTCTTATTCTTTTTCTATTTCCTTTACAGTAGGAAGCTCTGCACCTCTTTTTTTTCTTTCAACTTTCCAACAGTTTTTATTTATTTATTTTTAGAGGGAGGAGGAAGGAGAAGGAGAGAAACATCAGTGTGTGGTTGCCTCTCACACATCCCATACTGGGAACCAGGCCCTCAGGCCAGGCATGTGCCCTGACTAGGAATTGAACCGGCCACCTTTTGGTTTGCAGGCTGGCACTCAATCCACTCTCTACACCTTTGAAATGCCAAGGTAGTTGTGGGGTAGAACTTAAAGGGGATTTAAAAATATGCAAATATAAGGGATATAGAGGTATATATGAAACGGAAAGAGCATGATGCTTATGTTGGGAAGGACTTGGCTTTTGAATTTTGCCTTGCCCATTTGTTGGCTGTGGGACCCCCCAAAATTGTGTGACCCTTTTGAGCGTTAGTTTGCTGAGAGACGGAGATAGAGATAGAAACAGATAGATTTGTACTCATAGAACAGTGAGGTTTAAGTGAGCTGATGGATGTTAGAACACATAGCATATTGCCTGGAACATAAGAGAGAGTCAATAAATTGTAGCTGTCACTGTTAATAACAGAACAATTAAGTTAGGATTGAATTTTCTATTTGGAGAGGGTATGTGGGACAGCTGGCTCATCTGCGACCTGTGAAGGAAAATACCTTTGCAGGCCCCGGTGTCCACCAGCACTTAGAAACGACACTTGACCACAAAGAGAATGAAGCCTCCTCATTGCTAGCTTAGTTGACTGGTAATGCCTATGTAATTTCACAGTTTAGTTCAGTTCTAATATATATTCTGTACTGTTGTGACAGAGTTTGAAAGTGATTTTCATGACTTTACTATTGTTAGTGTTCTGTTAAAAGTATGTGCCAGGAGGCTAATGGGAGGGAGGGGAATACAGAAATAAAGTAACAACAACAAAGCTAATGATTCAAAGCAGTAGCTGCAGCTTCACAGAGCAGTTCTACAGCCATTATTTCCTCCTTGTTGCTGCTTTGTAAAGAAGATACCTGTTAGGTCGGAGTCACTCAAGAAACTGGTTGGACACAGTGAGCCAAGGAGAGCAGGGTTTATTAGCGGGGAATAAAAGGGAGAGTGGAGCCAACTGAGGGAGGTTGGGACTCGCTTGGTTGTTCTTAGGTCAGGGTTTTTAAATGCAAAAACCTGTAGTTGGGGTATTAGAGTCTGATTGGCTAAAGTTGGTTGCTGAGTGAAAGCTGCATCCTGTTATGTTGGATAAGCTGACCCCAGACCGTAATCTTCCTGGGTAGGGTCTGTAGGCAGCTTCCCACAGTGCCATTTTCTCGCCTGGTGATTTTCATTCCTCCTAGGCCTGCCTAGATCTAACAGTATCCTGTCTTCACATTAGCGATGAGGACACTGAGGCTCCAAGGAATGGAGGGACTGCTCAGCCGGTCGGAGAGAGAGCTGGGATTCCATAGCTATCCTTGTCACCAAGTGATTTATGGAGAGAGGACAGCGATGCATGGGACAATGATGACTAAAAGAAGGTTACTCCATAGCTAAATGCTCAGTTGAGGAGTGGGGCTTGTTGGTGGTGTTCGGAGTCCAAAAGAATTCAGAAGAGCTGGAGCAATGGGACTGGTTTCTTTGAGTCTGAGGCCTGACCATGAAAATGGGTCGGAGTTCCAGAGGCAGATAAGAGGGTATACCCTGTGCCTGGAGACAGGTACATGGGGGGCGCAGGTGGGCCACTATGCACACCAATCTGAGTGGTACAGAGTTGACTGTGGGCAGGAGTGGCGAGTAGGGTCAGGGTGCACTATGAAGCCCTGTTCTGGGTGCATGACATCAAAGACTATATTTTTCAGTTGATTTCAACTTTTAGTTTCTCTAGACCTCATTTTCCTCACTGATAAAAAAAAAATACCTTGCAATGTCTGCATGGAGCTTGTACCTAAATAATTTCATCAGTTCCATCCAATGGCTATTTGAGTGCCTGTTGGGTGTCAGACTCTGGGATAGAAATATTAAAATGCTACTCTTAGGTATCCTTCAGTAGAGATAATATGCCCACCAAAGGTGTTCTGGAGCTGCAAAGCATCAGGGTCATAGTAGGAGGGGTTAGTAATGATCTCTGGCTCATGCCTGGGCCTCATATGGACATCCTAACCTGGTGCTGTTTGGTGGAACATATAGTTTGCCCATTTCGACTACAGGCAGCTGACCCCACAGGTTGACATGCAATCTGAATTTCTTGCATCCAGCCTGCTCTTCATTCTGGAAGATGGTTCCTGAGGAGCATGTGGGCTTCAGAGAGAGCACTAGCAGTGGTATAAGAGACTAAGTATGGAGAAAGAAAAAGTACTTTTATTTCTGGATTGTCTGTTCTGAAACAGGTTTCAAAATGTGACTGTCTTAGTCTCAACCGTCTACAACTGACCCCTGGGAGTGGATGTTTGCTGAAGGTGAATGTTATACATCAGGAATTCCCTTAGTTAGGGCCACGGCACTTTGCCAGATGGACAGGCTTTCTTGTGGTGGCTACAAGACATTTTTAGGTAACCCTTTTCCAAGAGTAAAGTTTGGATTCATTTACATTAAAAGATCAGTGAATAGTTAGTTAATTCTGACCAGAATATTTGGGCGGTGGGAGAAGGACCAATATTGTCTTCATAGTTCTGCTTCAGTGAACATGGAAGGAGACACCAAACTGTGGTTTGTTTTCAGATTGGATGGTGTTAGACATAAACCACTTCCTAGTGCCTGTGAAAGCTAGGTCTCCGATGCCAAGGATGACTAGTCCTTGCTCAGGTTTGAGAGGCACAGGAAGAAAACTGAAAGAAACTTATAATTATTAAGCACCTATTATATGCCACCTCTGCACATAGGAGTTCATTTAATCCTTATAACACTTAATTGTTCGAGTGCTGTTGTCCCTCTGTTGCTTATAAGGAAGTTAAGCGGTTAAGAGACTTGTGCAAGGTCAGTGATAGAGTTAAGCCAGAATCCACTCCTGGTCTAGTGCTCATTCTGTGCATCCATGTTGCTTTTGGCTCTACAGATCCCATGATTCAGGGTCATGAGAATCACCTGGAGGGCTTGTTAAACCAGATTGCTGGGCTCCACTCTCAGTTCTGATTCAGCAGGTACGGGTTGGGACTTAGCATTCTCCATTTCTAACAAGTTCCCAAGGATGCCGATGCTGCTGGCCCAGGCCCCGCACTTTGAGAGCCGTCGCTCTAGGTG